CCGACTCTGATCAGGTGACTCAGCCTCCTGTCTCATCACCAGCCACATGGGGGGTTAGGCTGGCCCTGCAGGGTCCTTGGGACTTAGGACGCAGTGTGCGTGAGGCGATTCAGCCAGCATGCACCTAGCACCTGCGGCCGGCAAAGCAGGAACCAGACCCTGGCCGCATGGAGCTGACACTCTGGCGTGGGGACACAGACAGACACACATGCAGTCGGTGCTTCGAGACCTCTCGGGAGGCACTCAGCACATGGGAATGAACCCGTGTGGGGGCAGAGGCCGCTGCGTGCACAGACCCTCGGAGTGGGGCACGGCGTGTCCGTCACTAAGCGAAACGGCCTGTGATGACACCGGCTTCACCACAGGCCCCTTGGCGTAAACGAGAGTTAAGTTCCTTCGGCCTCCCATCCTCGTGGTAATGAAACAGCTTGGGGATGAAATGACGCCATTCGAAGACCCGCTGTGCCTTCAGGCGATACCAGCAGGAAGGCCGGCGTTCGGGGGTGGGGAGGAGCACCCCAGGGAGGGGCCTGGGGCACAGGGCCCGGGCACGATGGCGATGGCGTGAGGCCGGAGGCAGGCAGGGCCGCTCCCGAGGGCCACTTCACGTGGCTGGGGGGGGCATCTCGGTGCCAAGCTCGTGGGCCCGTGCGCCAAGCCTGAGCGGAGCTCGGGGTCAGGAAGTGGCTGCTGTCCTGCGGTGGGCGGGGCCCTGAGGACTTCCGGGCTCTGGTGGCTCCTGCCCTGGGCAGCCACTTGGGGGTGGGCAGGGGAGGGACAGCAGAGACAGGGAAGAAATTTGGGGAGTAGATGGGAGAGGAGCCGAGGGGCCTGGGTGGGGGTGGTCGGCTCCCTGGGCTCCGTAGGGCAGGCTGGGCGGGCCTGGTGCTGGCTCGGTCATAAAGCTGGGCTGACTGGGGAGATGGGGAGCCAAGACTCACAGCTGGAGCCCGGGCTGCGAGGGTCGGGGGACAGCTGATGGACACAGAAGCCAGGACACGCCCACGAAATGTGTCATTCCCTGGGGAGACGAATCAGGGACTCGTGAAACGGCCAGGGAACGCGTGTGGCAGTGTCCATCATCCCCGGTCTCCTTTCCTGCGGTGCCAGTTACCCCTGGTCAGCTGTGGCCCCAAATATTAAATCGAAAATTCCAGAAATAAACAGTTTATAAGTTTAAATCGAAAGTTTAAGTCGTATGCTGTTCTGAGCAGCGTGATGAAATCTTGGGCCATTTTGCTCCACCCCCTGGTGGATGTCAGTCACCCCCATGCCACGCCCCCTCACCCCACAGCCACTTATAG